AGCAAGGTGCTTGGACTGAAGGTTGTTTCCATTTGACTTTTTAACACCAAAAGGAAAATCCTCTGCTGCCCTTCTTGACCAACCACAGTTTCAGACCCATCAAAATCAACACTGGGATAGCACCCATGCTGTCCACAAGTGTCTCTTGAGGGAAAAGATACATTTCCAAACATAACTTCATACGTATACACCTAAACATGAAGCAAACCAGTTCTGCTTCTACATGACCCTTCTGGATACCCTCCAGCTGCTATCTACAAGCCTCTCCTGTTGCAGCACAGTGAAGATGCCTCTTCCAGTAAGAGTGCCAAATGTCACATATCTTGTGTGACACACCTTTGGCTGCCCTTGCCTTACACCTACGGCCTGTCCAGGCATCACACATCAGCACTTAAGTTAATATTTATGCCTTCTGGCCAGCAGACCCAGTCCAGAGCTTAAGGCACACACAGGTAAGTGTCCTGCTGCTACCCATCAACAGCCACATCATGGCAAATCTAAAAACCAAACTTCTCAATTGTCACTGAACTCACATGCACCACTGCAGTAGGCTCATGAGGCAGGAGCCTCCTTCCTCAACAATGCTTTCACACCTAACCCTCACAGTGGGTCTTCTACCTTCCAGGAGACACTCTTTCAAACCTGTGCAGCATCTCTAGTCGTTCAGACTACCAAAATGCATTAACTCCAGTAGCCAGCATCTTTTAGCACATCATTACCATTGCCTCCAAACCCTTAAACCTCTGTTACACCCTAGCCACAAAACAACATCACCAGTGTCAACCTCACTCATGTCAGACTGTGCATCAATTGCAAGGATCACCACAGTGACAGCTTGCAACATCAACTTTTTCCACCCCCATCAACTGTGGATATGAGATGACCAAAGGGACCAGAAATATCCTTTACACCTAGCTCTGATTTGAAGTAATTTCTTCTTATGGCAGCTGGACCTACACATTTAGCATGAAGAGTTTCACCAGAATTAAGAGTACACAACCAACCTTGAGGCACAATGTGCTCAAAGCAAAAGAAAGGAGTCTTGTGTGATTCACAAGCAGAATGTGAAGCTTGACCCAGCTCTATTTTATATTTACTGAATTTGAGAAGCAGTCTATTAATAGTTCACTACCATATCCCTGCCCTGCTTCTCCATGCCAGGGCAACAGCTCTGCTAACAAATACCAGTGATACAGGCAAACGCAAACATTTTCATACTGACACCGTAGAGCACAGCTAAACCAATTGTTTCAATTTAAACAGAAGTCACAGTCACAAGAATTAACTGGAAACAGACAAAATTGGTCTTGAAGTTCACTTAGTGTGAGCAGACTTCAGATATAGTCTCTGTCTCTTCTTCTCCTCCCAGATTTTCTAAATTATTCTGCTCATTTACACTACAAAGTCTATCTGGCCAATAAATTACCAGCACAGATAGTAACCTGCTACTATTTTGATATCAGATGAATGCTGCCAGCCAGCAAGGACACTAACAAAAACCAAACTACCACACTACTTGAAATCCTGGAGTTACTACCCTTTTCAGGAAAAAAATCCTGGAATTTTGATACGGGGTATAAGACTGTGATGATCACCAGACATCTCACACCTTCCTGCAACAGCAGGATTAGACAACTCAACCTTCCCCTTTTCTCAATTAAAAAAAATGAAAATTAAATACAATGATGGTATTCACAGTCCAAGAAAGAACCATATAGTACAATGAGGCCTCTGCATTTCACAATACCAGGTCTGACTCTTTGCAGAATTCCTATATATTCCCAAAGGGAAACATGATGAGCATTTTGAAACCATTCATCTAACTAAACTGAATATCTGTCTTGCAATCAGCGGAGTGGCAAAGCCTGTATTCCTTATTCATAACCCAACACTTTATTTAGGAGTACAACACTGCAATACTGTTATGCCAAAGCCCCACCACACAGCAATTGTACACCATCAATTAATATTAATTATAGCTGCTGAAAACCTTGGAATGCAAACTCTTCCAAAACTGCAGGGGCACACTAATCTTGCTCCAGCACTTCAGCTTCATGAAGGAACAACAGCCTTATTTTCTAGCTGGAATTCAACTACAACTTTCACCACTTCAGCCAGGTCTAAAACCCAGATCATTTGGTTAGCGCTCGGGTCCTGCCCTAATCAGAGCTATGACTTCAGTTCTGAACCCTAAAGCCATCTTTTCAACGAAATAAAGCCAATGAACAAGAATGGCTTGCAAGACCTTTGTACAGATGGACAAAGACACACAGGCAACAGCACAAGGTTGCTGAAAAACCGCTGAGCCAGGACAGGATTAATGCCTGCATGGAACCTCAACACTGTCCACTTTAATTTCCCAAGTGGAAACAAGTGGAACAAGCACAAGTGCATCTCCACAAGAAAAATACTACAGGTTGCAGCAATTTTTCCACAAAAAGTCTCTGGCCTGGGTTCTGATGGTGTAGCATTCTCTGAGACTGCAGAGGAAGGCATTTTGTCTCCAACAGCATGGTGATATGATGGCTTCCACTCAGTCTCCTGCTACCTATAGTGAACTTCAAATTTGTGAAGAGAAACACAAATCGAAGTAGATCTAACTGACACAGTTCACAGTTAAAAAAAAAAAAAAAAAAAAAAAAAAGCAGCCATGAATAAAGTGATTTACTTGACAGCACCCTCTGAATGTTTTCCCCAAAATTCCCCAGCTGAACTGAAAGTATTCTACAAGTTAAAGAGACAATACTGCCATTCACACCTTCTCCCATTGCCTCCTCCATGCAAATCCAGTCCAGAGGCACAGGCTTTAATCCTGTAGTCATTAAAGGCTGTTGTCATTCAATGAGGTTTTCCCAATCCAGACAGAAGTACTGGCTTCCAAAGTCACATACCAACTCCCGTTTACCTTCGGCATCACTCAAAACTTCACACAGTAGAGTTTAAGGAGACCCAGGAGCCCTGCCTCCAAGGGATTCACACCAAGTTCTCTAAAGCAGCCAAACAATAGTTTTCTTTCCGCAATTAGAAGCCTAAAGCAAATCCTGTATCAAATTTAAAATATCTAGCAGTAAGATCTGCTTTGGGTTGAAGCACATATAGTGAAAACTAACAGGAATTTGAGTATTATACAGATTTCTTCACACGTAGTCAGTACAAGAACTCCTAAACAAGTGTAATTAAGACTATGAAGGCCATTCACCAGGAAGAAAGCTTTCACACTGCAGTTTTCCCTTCCCTGTCTCCTCCTTAGGTGCACATGATCCAGACTAGCACTTCCAAGCAGTGTTCACCAACAGATTTGACAGGCTTTGGTTGTTAAAGCTGCTCCATTACAGAAAATACGTGGAAAATCCATCTATGTCGATCCCCCTGCTAGAGCCCTCTGAGAAAACCTGGCACCATGCTGAATTCTGGGTCTGTGCTGTGGCTGTGCAGTGATGGCTCTGGCCTGCGCTGCATGGACTGACAGAAGCAGCCTCAGCCTCTCCCAACCTGCCCTCCAGCAGCATCTCAGCCTCCATCCCGCGTGGGTTTCAGGCTGCTGAAGTAGAACACTTACACACTCCGGATTCAATTCCCAGCCAAGCCAGACAAAAGCCCAGGCCTGTCCCCAGCCTTCCTCCAGCAGCTCTCTTTAAAATCCCCTTAACAATCCCCCAGACCCCCTTTCCCCACAAACACCGGGACCCCCAGGGTGGAGGAGATAGCGGTTCAGCCCCTCACCACCAGCCCTCCATACCTCGCCCGGTCTGTGTGTCCCATTCTGCATCCCTGCCTGATAAAAGCCAGGGAATGCACGACTATGAAGACTGAGAAGTGTTCCCCATAATTCTTATTAAGAAAGAATTGTTGCAGTGAATTATGATTATGGTGTGTAATGAAATCATCAGAGAATAAAGATGTAGCTGTACATCCATCCCCAGCTATCCCAGGCCGCCAAGAGTAATTTGCAAACAGATTGGGCCAACATTAAAATACAAACAACCAACCAGGAGCTCAGACATACAATAACACGTTATTTCCATGTCAGTTTCAAGTACTCTTGTAGGCCATAAAGCTCAGCTATCCAATGGAAGTTTAAAGATCCTAAATTATAATGAACAGTTAAACAAGTTGCAGAGTAACTCAGGCTGAAAATAAAATAATATTAATTCTGTATTAGGTTTTTCTCTTAGCTAGGTCTCATTCCAATGGATGCCAACAAAAGTGAGGTAACAGGCACTATAAGCAAAAAAAAAAAAAAAAAAAAAAAAAAAAAAAATTAGGTATGTACTACTGTGACTTTTACCAAAAGCTACAAACCCCAAGAACAGGGTAACAGCAAAAGATAGCATCTAAACCTTCATTCTCTTTAGATACTACTGAATGATACTACTTCATTCTGAAGATCTAGAACTTTAATGTAAAAATACGTCTTTTCAAAGGTATTTGACCTTTGTCTTTCAAAGATAAGTCTCTGACCTAACCAAAGTACTGCAAAATGGTGCCTAAAAAAAGGCAAGCACCAGGGTATATTAGGAGGTTTGATTCACCAGGACAGTGACCATTTCATGGCAGGGGAGAGGGAAGATCGGAGAGAGAAGTTCCTCAGCCTTTCTGAAGCAATAACACAAAAGGAAATTTTCCTCCTGCAAACGCACTCAAATGACTGACGGTCGGTGGCATTTTAACCGGGAGCTGCTGCCCCGAGCCGAGCATCCCCGCTCCGCCCTTTCCCACGCCGCGGAAGCCACGCGTGACCTTCTCTGCACCAGGCGGGTCCTGCGTGGCCCCGCGGCGGCAGCGGCGCCGGACCGAGGGGGTTAAGCGTGGGAGGAGTGTACATAAGGTGGTGGATCCGGAGCCAATGGGGATATTGCGCTATAGTTAGACACTGGATTCTAAGCGATGGTGACCATAAAGGCTGCTCAGGGCTGAGCTGCTCTGAATGACACCAGCGCGGTGCCTTTAGTTACCGGCTCATGAGACAGAAAAAAGCACAGTAGATCAGCTGGGCTTACCTGCAGCTCACACCACGCGACTTCCACCCACGTCTCTGTGTCCAGACCCTTGTAGACCGTTTTGAAGGATCCTCGCCCGAGTTCAATGTCAAACTTTAGGAACCTGCCATCCGGCGAGGTGGCAACCGCTTTCATATCAGCCTCCTCCTCGGGCTCCTCTTTCTTAGCCTTGCCCTGGTCCTTGGCAGCATCCTGCGCCTCTCTCCGCTCCGCATCCTTGCCTGGCTCCTTCTGCTCCTCAGCACCCGCAGCGCTGCCCGCGGCCGGCGTTGCCCGCGGCTCCCTGGAGCCCTCAGCCTCCCGGCCCGCCGCCTCCTGCCCCGTCTTCGCCCGCTCCGCGATTATCCTCCTGGTTTTTGGGAGCAGGATGATTCTTCGCTGGTTCTCCGCCTCGGGCAGGTCGAAGGCAGGCTCCTCCTGGTCCGAGTCCACCACGCTCCTCCGCAGGAACCGCTGATGGACCAGCTTGCTGTCCCTAGAGCCGGGGCCGCGGGGAGGCGGGAGGGCCCCTGGGGCTGCCGGCGCTGCAGGAGCGTCCGTGTCCGCGTCGGCCCCGCTCCCGCTGCCGCCGGGCCCATCCATATTCACGCTAGTCTCCGCGGCCGGGGGAGCGCCGGGCTCGGCAGCCGCTGGAACCCCGCCACGGCCGCCGCCTCTGCCGCCCCGCCGAGGTGCCGCTCTAGCATCACCCCCACTTTCCATCCGCGCTGAGGGCTCAGCGCCCGCCGCCGCCCCGGCCCGGGGGAGTCACCGCGAGCCGCGCCCGCGCCACCACCGCCGCGGGGCAGAGCGCAGTCCTGAGGCGCCGTCACAGCCCGGCCCGGGCCCCGGGCACCTTCCCCGGCCCCGGGGCTCCGACGAGCCGAGCCCCCGGGCCGGGCCGCGGCCTCTCTGACCGGGCTCCCCCTGTCCCCGGTGCCGGCAGGGGCGCGGCCGAAAGCGCCAGACGACCGGTGCAGCCCCTCAGCTGCGGAGGGCCCGCGCACAAAGGCGCGTCGGGGCCGTTACTTACGTGCGGAGCTGGGGGCTGCCGCGCTCAGCGCCATGCGCGGGGGAAGGCGGGCGGCGGAGGAGGGGCGGCTCCGCCGAGCGTGCGCCTGCCCGGGTGCGCGGCGGGGCCGGGGGAGCCGTTGCCGGTGCGGGGCTCCGCGGCTCGGCTCGGCCCGCCCCTGCGCCGCAGCCCGCCCCCGCCGCAGCGCCGGCCCTGCCGCGCCTCCCGCTCCGCACCCGGCGGCTCCGCGCCCCTGCCCGCGGACACCCTGCGGCAGCCCCACCACGCCCCCCGACCACCGCCGCTTTTTTGTCAATGGCAGCGCTCCCGGGCAGCGCCCATTTAGCGCACCGGCGCTCGGCAGCCGCCAATGAGGCTGCGGAGGAAGGGCGACCGCCCCCCGTCCTCGGCCACGCTTCCCCCGCCCCGCCCCGCCCCGCCGCAGACAATGGGAGGGTCTCGGGCACCGCCGCTGCCGCGCTCCCCCTCCGGCAACGTCCGCCCGTCCGCAGGTGCCCCCACGGGCATCCCCCGAGAGCGTCCCCCGAGAGCGTCCTCCCACGGCATCCTCACCACAGGCGTTCCCCGAGTGCACCGCTCCCAGACATCTCCCCCAGAGCATCTCTCCGAGCGCTCAGCGCCCGCACAGGTGTGGGATGGGTGCAGGGCGCGGGCCCCAACTCTAGCTGATTTCTGGATCCAGGAGGTGGCTGTGCCAAGCAGCCGATTATCACGGCTTCAGGCAAAGGGAAGGTGACTTGAAGAGAAACTGGATGCTCTCTGCACACAGCGTCTTTTAGCATTCCTCAAATGCAAAATGTGACCAGGGACCGACTCGCATGTGGCCACTGCAAACACCACACAACCCACCTATGTACTGCATGGCAGGTCACAACACATGACAAGCCTCAGAACCTTGGGTTATCTTTTTTGGGCTTTTTCTTTATTCCAAGCAGTTCAATAATCACTCTGTGGATATTGACCCCATCATTCACTGTGACCAACACTTCAAATTAGCCTAGATAGAGGGAAACTTTTATCTCGACACCCATCTGTGCTGTGTTAGGTTCAAAGAACCCAACTGGATTGGCTCCAGTTCTGGTGGCCTCAGCACCAGAAGAATATTGACCTGCTGGAGCTGGTATAGAGGAAGCCACAAAAATAATTGGAGGGCTGGAGCCCATCTGCTCTGGAGACAGGCTGGAAGAGCTTGGGGTGTTCACCTGGAGAAGAAGGGCTCCAGGAGAGCTGGAGAGGGACTTTGGGCAACAGCCTAGAGGTCCAGAACAAAAGGGAATGGCTTCCCACTGCCGGGGGGCAGAGTTAAATGGGATATGGGGAAGGAATTATTGGCTGTGAGGGTAGAGAGGTCTTGGGAGAGGTTTCCAAGACAAGCTGTGGCTGCCCCATCCCTGAAAATATCCAAGGCGAGTTTGGACAGGGCTTGGAGCATCCTGGGATAGTGGAAGGTGTCCCTGCCCATGGCAGGGTTAGGAATTAGATGGGCTTTAAGATTTCTTCCAATCCAAACTTCTGTAATCCATCCTTAGGTGAGGACAGACACGGGATACTGGCTTTGCCAAAGGCTGTGCCCTGTAACAGCTGTGACATTTCTGCTCTGTAAATTTCAAAAATGACGCTGGTTGCCACTACTGCCAAGCTCCTTTCTCAAGTATTAGGTTCATACAAACATACTATATGTAATTAAGATTTAAGTCAATAAAGAAAAATAAAAAGAGAAGGTTTACTAAGTAATTATTCCCTGAGATTTCTGAGGGAAGGGAAGTTGACTGTCAGGCAACCATAATTAGTTCTTCTTTTAATTAATTAATTTTTAGTTAAGAACGACTTTTTTTTAAAACCCTTTTAAAATAAGAAACTGGGTAGTCATTGTCAATAGAATCACTGGTGGCTTGTTTTTACAAATCACACTTAACTAATAATTCAGCCTCATGGACGCATTTGATCTTTAAGTGGTATTGCTTTTTGAAGTGTTCAAATATCAGTGATATTTCTAGGACTTGCAATTGTGGCATGAAACATGGATTTGTGTGCTGTATAGAAACCCAAATTCCCGAATATTAGCCCTGTGTGCTGGGCTCTGCACTTCTCTGCACATGGAAATTTGGTAGACAGAGAGCAGTCTGCAGTTACCGGGAGAAAAGAAGGGAAGGTGAAGAGCTCTGACACCTTCTCCTACTTATTACATAAACTGACCTAAAACTCTCTTCAGAGTAACAGAAATTCCCACCACCATGTAGAAAAGGAATAAGATTCAGGGTAATGAGAGGGCTAAATGTAGCTGGCAGCATTTCACTCTGCAGGTGAACAGGATAAAATGTGAATATTCTAGAGCTGACCAAATATCAACCCCAAAACCCACAATCAAGAAAAATATGGGGGGAAAAGGAGACTGGATTTCCCTGTCTGCCAGGCCTTGCCAGAAGAAAGAGGGACACCCTCAGGTGTAGAGAGCATCCCACCCCTATCTCAGGAGGATACACGAGCACTGCCACGCTGCACCGGTGTTCCCTTGACCCCTTCCCAGGGCTCCACAGATGAAACAACACCTGTTCTCACAGCTGAGTTTTTGTGCTGTCCAGTGTCACATTCTGCCAGGGCTCTTCCTGTGTCTATTTGTCTACTGAAAATTTAGCGATAATTTGCAGGTCACAAACTTAATTGTCATCCACTATCAAGTGCTCTGAGTCTGTTACATGATGATCTTTAATATTCTAAAACTGAAAGAAAATGCTTCTTCCCAGATAGCTGTTTGACCTTTTTTCCATGCTGCTCTCTGCCTGCTCCACATCTCCAGGTGAGTGAGCTGAGCAGAGGTGTCACAGCACGGAGCACCACGGGACCGGGGTCTGCACCCCACTCAGGCAGTGCCACACCTGCAGAGCAGTGTGGCACAGTGCGGGAAGCTCTGAGACTAGCCCCAGTCTGATCTAGCACTCCATGGCAGGAAACAATGGCCCGTCCCAGCAGAGGGATGCTGCCTAGCAGACAGAGCACTTTTCCCCAGCCATCAGGAGCAGCCATTCCAGCCTTCCCCAGTGTCAATGACCACAATGGACACATAGCCACAGAGGGATCCAGTGCCCAGTTCTCCCATGCCCTGTGCTCAAGCAGTCCCAAGCTAGCCCCCTGTCCCAAGCTCATGCCTGATGGGTGAGGAATGCTCAGCAGGCATATAGGGGGGACTGGAACGACACCCAAAGTACAGACTGATGCAGTCTTTGTTTCTCCCATCTACCCAAAGCCCTCAGCACTGGGAACAGTGACCTACAAGCTACCTTTCCATAAGGGAGAACGTCTGTCCTGGGCAGGGGATCTCACACTGGAACAGGCTGCACAGAGAGGGTTTCCCTCACTGGGGATACTCCAGAGCTGTCTGTGGACACAGTCCTGTGCTCTAGAATGACTCTGTTTGAGCAGGAGCACCAGGCGGCCCACTGTGGTCCCCTCCAACCTTCTCCTTCTCTTGTGATAAGCTATTTTATGGGGTTGCCTCTACTTTTCTCAGTTTACCCAAGGCAGAAACCTGTTGTTGATTTTTCTGCTCACCTCTTTCAGCCTGTGCAAGCCAGTAGACACACAGACACAAGGAGGTTGTTCTACCCACACAGCTTACTACATCAGTGTGCTTTATTACCAAAGGGCATGGAAAAAGATGAACAGTTTCAGTTTTCCTGAATATTGGATCATCAACCATCATCAGAACAAGCTAGAAGCAGATTCACCTTCAAGAGCTGACTGGTATGCAGATGACATTGGAAATTATAGCACATTTCAACTGACAGGCAGCGAAGGTGTTACCTCAGACTGTGACTTTAATCAAGCCTTTGACTAGGAGAACTGCTCCTTGAAGGAATGAAAGCCAAGATGCTCATCCCCTTGGTGAGGTTCTCTCTCCATGCACGGTGCTAAGTGAGACACACATCACCCCAGAGCACAAATGGGCATTTCCACTTGACAAGCAGATTACCACAGGTCTGTCTTTGACTCACCTCACATCTGGCAGGAACAGTCAGTCACTCACACAGAGCAGGACAGCTTGTCCCAGTTAATAGTTAGTGTTAGTTTTAAAAGGGAGGAAAAGAACCATTTTCACTTAATAACATCCCTTATTTTCCTTCTGTGTTTGTTAGTTTTGAGTGAGGAAGTTCAGACCAGTTTGACCAGCTTGACTTTCAGGTTCTCAGATACTGAGAAATTTTTTATTTGTTTAAAATAAATGTTTGCAGGAGACCATGGAACCATCTGTACTGGCCTCCAGTTTTCTATTAACTCAGTTTTTTATATAATTTATGTCCGGATTGAAATCAGGTCAAATGCCTATTGAGAGCTACTTTCAGTTGCACCCAGGGTATGCTCTTTTACCTGCACATGCGCTATGGGCTCTAATGTAGTGTTATGTAGTAATTGCTTTTTCTTTGAAAGAACAATAATCATCATTTAAAAATCCAGTTTCACAATACATTCCCCATTAGGTCATCTATGTTCTATTCGATTAATTTGTTTATAGGGACTCTAGATACAGTGGTCCAAGTATCACAGAATCCTAGAATCCTAGAAGGATTCAAGGTCATCTTATTCCACCCCCTGCCATGGGCAGGGACACCTTCCACTGTCCCAGGCTGCTCCAAGCCCCATCCAGTCTGGCCTTGGACACTGCCAGGGATCTAGAGGCAGCCACAGCTTCTCTGAAAAACCTGTGCCAGGGCCTGCCCACCTTTATAGTAAAGAACTTCTTCCTAAGTATCAGTTATCTTAAGTTAATGGTTGGACTTGATTTTAAAGGTCTTTTCCAACCTTAATGACTCTGATTCTATGATACTCAGTAATTGAATTAATACAAACTAATCACAAAGGTGTAAACAAGCATCTCTTTATGTCAGAATGATGGATGCTCTTGGCAAACTCACCTTGCAGGTCAGGGAACCAGGCAAGGGCAGGGAGTGAGTGGTGGGAAGGTGTGTGCCACCCTCCTCAGGAGGGGCTGGGCTCCATTTAGCTTTCTTTGCCCTGCAGTGTGACATTAGTACAACATATCATTCTAACATGCGTGACAAGTATAGACGGAAAAAAAATGTTCCATGTTTTTAATTCCTACAGATTTTAATAGGCATAATAATATGCCACCACATTACCTCTCAGATTCCTTAAGTAAACAAGCTTTATGGTGCTGCACAAAAGTTAATGAGCAGTATCTTCATTGCTGTGTGGATTTATGAGGTGTGATTGCTGCTTCCCAGCCCAGGAGCCATCTGTGCCCAGGGAATTTTGTTCAGGCCTCTCTGAAGGTCAGCTTAGTCAGCAAAAACACAGTTATTTTACAATTCTATGATTTACATTAAGCATTATCTCTCCACACAACTCTATGAAGGTGAGGTTTATTTTTCAGACAGGCAGCCTATCATTTTTCCCACACCAAATCTGACCAATGATGAATAGTTGTTTAAAAATTAATGTATAATTCCAAAGTTTGTACTTAATTATTTATCTGCTTTTCTTTGCCAGAAAACAATGGCTTTCAGCCTGCCATAAGCCCAAATGAATGACCCAATACATTTCCAAATGCTCCTGTGTGGGCACAGGGATTGCAAGAGTTCAAAGAGCAGGTTGGGTTTTTTGAAAACCTCTTTCACCTCTTGTGACATTTCCCGCTATGATCCCTCAGGTACCTTTATAATGAAAACAAAATAGATGGAAAGAGCAATGTAAGAATTAGATCAAAACAAGGAACAGAGCAAAACAGACCAAATCAAGGAGTTCAATGTGACACTTAATAACATGGTTAGGATTTTCCAAAATGTTAAATATTTAAGTTGACCAAGTGAATACCCTTTACTTTTTATTTTTAGCATGAAGCTATATTTTATCAAAGAGCCCATTGAACACATTGTGTTGCAAAATAGGAAGATTTAAGACATAATGACAGTGCCATTATTCCTCCTAACATAAAAGATAGGGCGTAAGTTCTTCTAACTTCAATAAACATATGCTGATCTCGTCTCCATGCAATGCTGTTCATTATACTGAGCTCTTTGATCCTGGTTTTTTCATTAACTGAAGAAGTGGTGAGAGCACAAAACCTCAGCACAAAACCCTCCCTCCATGCAATGTGCATTTAGTGACAGGCTCATGTCACAAACAAGTTCAAACAGGTGCTGTGCTGTGAGGATTGCACCCATGTGCCTGACTGGTTCCAGTGACTCTGAACACACCACTCTGAGGAACACCCAAAAGTCACAAGCACCTCTACTACGGACGGCATTAACCAGAAATTAAAACAATATTTACAAAGGTTAACCACTTAAGGAATACAGAAACTGTGTCACACACTGATGACAACAAAAGGCCTGTGGAGCCAATGCCTGTGCTCCAAAGAGCCTTAATCCTCCACCCTCCTCACGAGAAACCTCCTGTTTAGTGCACTGACACATTATTTTTAAGCCTTTTAAACAAGCAGCAAACAACATTGGCTTCCTGAGGGGAGTCACCACATGGAGACAGAGAGCTCCTAGCCTGTGGCAGCAGGCTAGGAATGGATCTCTGGCCACAGAGAGCAGGCACAGACTTTCCCAGGCATTTTCCTGGAGAAGGCTGTGAGAAGATCAGAGAAAAGAATGAGAAACAATTCTTATCTCCACTTGTTGCACCTGCTGTTGTGCACATGTGGAATGTGTTATGGAGATTTGTTTACTAAAGGGTGATTTCCTAATTGGACACTGGATGGTGTTTGGATTGATTGACCAATTAGGTCAAAGCTGTATGGGACTGGCTGTAAGGGTTACTGAGTTTCTTAATAAGTATAGTTTAATATAGTACAGGATGATATAATAAAGCAATTTATCAGTCTTCTGCAATTATGGAGCCAATGGTAATTATTACCCGGCTAGGGGCCTGCAGCGACACTAGCCTGTTTAGGGGTCACAACAAGGACAAGGAACCTTTTGGAGTCCCAAGGTGACTGAGATACACGACATCTGAGATACATGACCAGGCGTTTCAGCTAGTGCAGACTGCTCTGCTGGAATCATTGGAAAGCAGACAATACATTCAGGACAAATAGGTCAATCCATGGACTCAGTGCTCAGACATGAGTGTGGGCTACACAGGACAGGTGGCCTTGTGTCATTTCCTGCAGTTGTATGCAGTTGCTTAGTGTAATATTGCTTTTCTCTCTGCTAGATCCCCTGCAAACATCTGAATAAGCCATAGATTCAGTGAGGTTGGGAAAGCCCTCTAAGGTCATCAAGTCCAACCATTAACCCATGTCCTGGCTTGTAAGATAAGCATGTATTCTATTTGCTATCTGTTGGAGGTTGGGCAGTTTTCTTATCTCTTCCAAGAACAATGTCTCCCCCCGGGGTGATATCTTCTGTTAATGGGCCATTGAATGACTCACTGCATGACTGGTAAAGTTACATCATCCCATTGTGAGATGCTCCACCCAGAGGGAGGAGCCAAGCACCTCTACCTGCATAAAATCAGCATTTTTTGGGACACCAGAGCAGCCCCTTCGCTGGATTCCCAGAGGAGCAGCTTCTTCTCTGCTGGATCCCCCAGAGGAAGACCAGGCCCATCTACTCCATCACCAGACCTTCACAGAAAACTACACCCTTCTAAAGATTTCACCCTTCAGCAGCATTTCATCTGCCACCGCAGGAGGAGCAGCCACCATTTAACTGGACTATTACCAACACTCTGATTCCTCAGGGTGTCAGGTTTCTGACTCTATCAGTAGTTTTGTTTGTACTAATTACATTTTTTAATTATTTAGGTTTTTTTTTCCCTAGTAAAGAACTGTTATTCCCAGGGAGGGGTTTACCTTTTCCATCTCACAGGAGGCTCTTGCCTTCCTTCACAGACTCCTTCATAGACTCGCAGTCTTTTCAAACCAAGACAACCCAGTACTGCCTTATTCACCAGTAACTGAGTGTCACATCTACCTATCTGTTAAATCCTTTCAGGGTTAGTGACTCTGGCATCACCCTGGGCAGCCTGTGCCAGAGCTGGACAACTCTTCCAGTGAAGAAATTTTCCCTATTACCCAATCTAAACCTCCTCCAGGGCAACTTGAAGCTGTTTCTTCTTGTCCTGTCACTTGTTAGTTGGGAAAAAAGAAACTCCCATCTGTCTACACCCTCCTGTCAGGAGGGTGCTGAGAGTGAAAAGGCCTCCCCATGAGCCTTGTTTTCTCCAGGTTGCCTCAATTTAAGCTCCATCACCCTTTTGGGCAGAATTACATGTGTGGTTTCTTTTCTTGTAATAAGAATTAGTGGAGAGCCACTGGTGCGTGTGTTGCAGAGTCACAGACACCTCTGAATTGTTTTTAGAGGTCCTAATAGAATTTCGCTCTTACTCTTATGCCTTGTAGAATAATACTACAGAAGAACATTGATATATTACCAGTTTTCAGTATTTGATGAAAATGTTATGTCAATGTTATGTTTTGACATTGCTATGTCAAAATTTCCTTCTCATCTGTCAGACCAACACAACAAAGAAAAACCTGAGAAATACCATGGTAAAAAGAAGCTGCAATTACTGTTTTCAGTTCCCAAGAGGAAGCCAGAAAATCCATTGAAGATCCCACCTCATGTCACAGACAATAGATTCCAGGAGTATGTCCTTTGTTCTTCTTCCTTCTTTTCCCTGACAACAGCAAAAGGCTGCACATGAACCCTTGATCTTGGCACTCTGCTGAGACAGTTGGCATCCTGCATGAGGAGGGTATAGGAAGAGCCTGTGAGACCTCTCAGTTACAACATACCTCCAAAAATAAAAGCAACATATCTCACTTTGGGTACCAAATACCAAGGTCTGGAGTTGAAGTTCAGATGTTAAAATTCAGTATTTTCAAAACATCAGATATCATTCACTGGACAGTAGTGTTTGTCTGATAATTTAGAATAAGTGTTGGACAAAAATACAAAAATAAGCTCTGTAAGATTTGCAGAGCAACTAATTTATACTTAGCAACAGATAGTTTAGATGAAATTGGTGTAATGTCCTGAATTTCCAGGTAGGCTCTAAACACAAGCACTATGTCTGAGCCAAGGTCCCAGTTCTGGTTTAATTACACTGACTGGCCATTGATTTAAATGAAGGCAGGATCAGCACGTGATATAATAATTTCCTTGTTTAATTGTGGGTCTACTCACTGTGCATATGCTTGTTGAGTAACAACATGCATTCAAAAGAATGTGAGATCTCCCACCCAGATACATCCTAAAAATCTGCAAGGGAAATTAAAACATTATTTTTAATCTGAAAAATTAACCAAATGTGACATAATTCTACCCACCTCTCATCCTATATATCATACATTCTAAGGTCCTAAGCCCGTATTTTCACATTTTCCTCAAAATTAGCACACTATATATTTTATTGCTTTTGAGAAGAAGAGATTATTAGCAAAGTCATTAGCAGCAAGGCACAAGCACCTTGCTCATTAGAATTTATGGTTTACTTCCTGGGCAGGGATTTGGCCCATTTTCAAGACACACTGACAAATGGTTGTGTAATTGAAGAGAAAGTTTACAAAATTATGTATGTGAGAGCCAAAATCACTAAGCTCCACCAAGTGGCATAAGAGAGAAGGTTTTGCCATAATGTTGAAGCATTAGAATGGTTTCAGAGGAACTGATCTCTCTTTATGCTGCCATAATTCATTCTGCAGCTGCCTATTTTCTCTAACTTGTATGTGGCAGGTGAGTAGAGCATTGAGGGAGACATTCTCTGCAATATAATTATGATCCACTATTCAACTTGTGATCCTGCAGTACAGGTCTACTCATCCATTCCTCAGGTTACCATGGAATCATGGAATATCCTGAGCTAAAAGGGAGCCCTAAGGATCATAAAAGTCCATGTGTGTCTGTATTTTGAGCTGTAGACACATCACGTCCTTTTAAATTTATAGCATTAGATAAATATTACTAATAAATATGAACAGAAATAACAAGTTCCTTGTTAATAGAGTGCATATTTGTTTACTTTGCTCTACTGGCAAATGTTTCTGTGATCTTCTCACTTCAAAACCACTTATTAAGAATACCTGCATGTTACAGGTAATTTTGACAAACGTTTTTGTCAAAAACATAGATGTTTTTCATGTAAAACTGTTGGTTGCCAATTCCACTCTGTTGTCATTACACAAGTCTTAAGTCAGAATTGGGTTGAGTTCGAAAATATGTCTGCTTTTTCCAGGTCTGTCAACTGGTGCGATAAAGGCCATCATTTTCATCCAGAAAAAAAACCACCCAACAATCATCATTGCACAGAACTCCAAGGATGTTACTTTTAGAATCATTTAACATATTTTAATGTCAGCCCTAGCAGGGTGTTCTTCCTCTCAGTGAATCATTCAGAATTGCAGTGCTCCCTCAGAGCAAAGATAGATGCTGAACATATTATGGGAAAGGTGCCAACACCATGGGACAGGTCCCATAGTGAGAGTAATAATAAAACTATTACCGCTACTCACAGTAGTCTTATCAGTAGTGGTTTGGTGTGGCCACACGGCAGATGTTGCCGGGGCGGCCACTTTCCAAGAGCGTCTCCCTTGGCCAAGGTGGATAGCCAAAATGAGCAGCAGATGCTCCTGTAGGCAGATGGTGCCTAGCAGGCCAAGCAGACAAGACAGGAGAGACTCTATGTGTAGGCTTCCAACCATTGTTCATTAACAGAAGGGCTGAAGGGACAGCGAGGAGCAGGGCGCAGAGCCCAGAACTCAGAGCCTCCAACAGGGGAAGGTCCAAGGTATTGAACTGACCAGGGCTAGGAGGGGTGAAACAACTTGAGGGCCAATGGGAGGAGGGATGAGGGCAGGCACAAAAGCAGGCTAAAGAAACAGTAACCACTGGGTAGAGAGAGGGGGAGTAACATATAACAAGGACCAATGGGAAAGTAGGAAACTGGACATTCTGGAACTGGGGAAGGGACTAGAAGTGATGTCCCAACAGTTATTAACATCAAAAACAAAGAACCATGGGAAAAAAACCCTAGTTGGCACTATAACCTAAACTGTTGTAACCTCCCAAGGCATTCCTGCTCCTCTTTCCTCCACATGAGATACTACATTTCCCCCCTCTTTATTTACTATGAAAGCCTTTCCCACAGTGTTTTTAACAAATCTCATAAAACATGAAGCTGCTAATGCTAAAATTGCAATAATAACCAAAATCCATAACAGTCCTCTAATAACTGGGGCTGCCCAGCCCAGAACACCCCACTGTGTAAACAGGCTATGAAGCCAATCAGCAGTCTTCATCTCTGCCTTGATGTTCTTTATTTGATCTTGTATCTTCTTAATGTTGGCTTGTGTACATGTACTGTGCGATGTTAAATTGAAACAACAAAGTCTTTCAAAACCCTTGCACCCATGGCCATGGGCAAGTAACA